TAAGCAGTGTGGCACAATCATGTTTGTCATGGCCACACGCATCGAATGATGAATTTTTTTTTGTTCAGGCGAGGTCAGCTCAGGGTATTGACCTCAAGTCAAGGTCAGACTAAAGTCACTCAGGTCACGGGGTTGGTAGGAGGAAATCATTAAGCATAGCGTTCGATTCGGCGCTAAAAATAACAGTTTTTTTTATTCTCCCCCATTTACATATACCCAATGGTGAGGTCACACGACTGACCTGACCTCTGGTAACCTGCAAAATCATCCGAGACGTAAAATTTATGAGGGGCTCGGAAGTTACTAATTCCTATAAGTTCTATGTCTGGCATATATGAAAGCTCCTCTGGCACTGAGGGCGTGGCGAAGCTGCGACATTTTAGGCCCGTACAGACGTTCACTTTGTTGTGACGCCATAAGTCAGTAAGTAACCTGGCCTGAACTTAGCAATTGGCTGGTGCCACAGCCCTCAAGATACTGCTCTTGAATCACAGGTCAGGTGTCCTGTCAGCTACAGCTATATATCAGCTATGTATCTATGGCCAACACATTCCGAGCAATCGCGAAAATTTGGTAGGGGGGGGGGCGGGGGGGCATCCATCCTCCGGGTGCCTCCCCCCCCCCCCCCCGAGGATAGGTGCCCAACCTTCCCCTGCCGGGGAAGGTTGATGGTATGGAAGCTTGCCGGCAAGTTATCAAGCCAACGTCTTCTTTGAAAACCAACCAGCGTATCTCCCTTCATTATCACTCATGACCGAAAGTCAGGCGACCTTTAGTACCTCGTCAGTGAGTTATGACGAAGGTCAAACGTCGGTCGACCTCAACTATCTCGTCTGAGACAGAAGTCGAATCAACATCAACCCACCACAGCACTCAGCGCTACGAAACTCCCGGAGCCCGCTGAAGCACCCTGCGGACCAGACACGGCGTCTGTCGGTGACATAAAAAATACCGACTTCAGACACCAGAGAGGTCGCCCTCCTACCTAGAGACCAGACCGATGTGATAGCGATGACAGCCGAGCATACGGCGAGCGGGCGCCATCTTGAAGTGACCGATGCAGGCTGCCCAAGGCGATAGGGCACGCTGATTGGCTGAGTGGTCACGGCACGAGCACAAAGCTAGGTATCTTCAAAGGCGTACTCCAATCAGCTTGAACCACAGGTTCACGTGTCAGACAGCTACTACCTAATGTTGACATGTGGTAAGAGCAGCTGTATGTTCCTGTCGATGCCGATTTCTTATCTTACCAGGCATAACGCAACATAATCAGAGAGCTAATGTGTCATAAAACGGAATGTTATGATATGTAGTCACATATCTGTGGGCATCGATAACATGGAGTGGTTACCTTTTTAACCCGCGCACCGACGGGGGTCTGCGCCAACTTAGTACCGACGGGGGGGGGGCGGATGACCGCCCCCCCCTGAGATCTCGAGAACGAAGCAAGATAGCGACAAGCGGTAAACGGCATCGGATACGCACGGACAAGGTCTACAATTTTTACTGAGGTCATTTTCAGGTCAGGTCAAAGATGACGTCACAGGGGTCGAAAAAGTCAAAATGGCGGCGCTAGATATGGAGAGGGTTTTTCTCGAATAACTTTCGAAGTAGTCAAGCTAGGAACAAACTAAGGGCATCATCGTGATCCTCTCGTCAATCCGCATCGAATGATATATATGTTGACCTCGAAAGGTCAAGGTCAAAGGTTGACCTCAGGTCACGTGACCTCGAGGTCATCATGTATATCATTCGATGCGTCTTGACGAGCTGAACACAATGAGACCATCCGCGCGGCTGTATCTTGTTCCTGTAAGGAGTTATTGGCAAAAAACCTTTGGTGACCTTTGATGACGTCACATGACCTTACAGCTGCCCAACAGCAAAACAGACATCAAGGTAGTGAAGGTTGATCGTATGTGAAGTCATGTATGGTATATGGGGCCATTCCGACCCGTTTTAGTGGTAAAAACAGGGAGTTGATTTTTCCCCCATTGACTTATAATGGGGAGGTCGCGAAATTGACCTGACCTTAGGTCACCGACATCAAAATTCCGAGATATACAAATTGTAGCTACTAATGACATAATAACATCCTGCGACTTTCAAAGGCCTCCGACATCTACTGTAGCTCTGGCACGGTGACAAAGTTGCAAAAAAGTGACTTGAGGTTGGGTCATTCAAAGTGACCTGGTGACCTGACCTTAAAAGTTAGGAGGTTCAAACTTGCACACCATGTGTAAAATTGATGAGAGAATAGTCATACCAAATTTCGCGGCGCTACGCGCCGCGGTTTTCCCGCTATCTGCGAAAAACCTCAGGGGGGGGCGGATATCCGCCCCCCCCCGTCGGTGCGCGGGTTAAAGGTATGACAAGGGTAACTAGATAGCCATTCATACAGCCTACCAATTATGTCCGTTCAAATAGCCAAAGTTTTGCTGTTCAGTGCCCAGCCTTCCCGTTCGGCAGTTATCGAAAACGATTAAATTTAAGAGCCCTGAAAATAGCAAGTGAATATTGGCGCAGCTACCGATATCAAACAGCCAACCAGAAGAGCGCCAGTTGATGGTTGTGAAGCCAAGTGAAAAAGAACTTCGTTCCGTCCGAAAACAGAACACACGACATTCAGTCATCCATGGACCACTGTCATATCGAAGAGACACTCATTTAATAACGGCTGAAGTCTCCGCCCTCTCTAAAAACGTCGCCGCCGCCGTCATTCGATGGTTCGATGGAAACCGATCCTACCCCTTCCAGCAAGAGGGATGTTCCAGAGGAGTTGCTAGGATAACTGTGAAAATGAAGAGTAAACTCTCTTCATAAAAAAACGAATGATATGTATGCCGAGGACGGAGCTGGCTCACTGCTCAGGACTCAGGAGCTTGGCAATTGGCATATTCTACCTATGTGTGAAATTTTATCAGAAAACATATTTTGTTATTCACACGGAGGCCCTTTACAGAGAGCATGAGATGGATCGGTGAAACGCGACTGATAAATGCACCATGACACCACTTGACATTTCCGCAGTCCAAGTGGCCCATGTCCCACGTCTGAGTGCTGTTTTTGATATCTCCCAGCTCTTCCAACAACCTCTCTTCCAAAGTCTCTTCCAACAACCCACCCTACTTCGCCCTCCACCCACCATTTCTACCTCCTCGTTGTCCGTAACCAATTCTTCTCCCCACCGTCTAAGTTCGCCCACCATCCACTGTACGTGACTGGAGAGCAGCAGTCTCCATTTAACGGCCAACAATCCGTGCCCGCCGGCAGCCGGCCGGCCCACACCAACCTCTTGCCCTCACAGCTGACCGATATCGCCGGCGGCTATTCACAGCAGCAATTGCCGCCAGCTAAAGCCGGGCGTCGGGCTCTCAGTGTCGCAGTGAATCGACAGCGACAACAAGAGGCGACAGCGGGCGATCGTATCTTATCGGGTCAGAGAGGTGGCTGGTGATGATATTTCACCGGGAGAGAGAGAGAGAGAGAGAGAGAGAGAGAGAGAGAGAGAGAGAGAGAGAGAGAGAGAGAGAGAGAGAGAGAGAGAGAGAGACAGAGAGAGGGAGGGAGAGAGAGAGAGCAGACAGACAGACAGACAGACAGACAGACAGACAGACAGACAGACAGACAGACAGACGGACAGAGACAGAAACAGAGACAGAGACAGAGACAGATAGAGAAGAGAGAGAGAGAGAGAGAGAGAGAGAGAGAGAGAGAGAGAGAGAGAGAGAGAGAGAGAGAGAGAGAGAGAGAGAGAGAGAGAGAGAGAGAGAGAGAGGTGGCTGGTAAGCCCACGACTCGAGTGGATATTGGAGAGTTGACATAATTCACCGTGGAACGTACTCGTAGTTCCTCATTGGTAGTGATTTGATAAACCTCCATATTGGAGAGTTTGATTTGAGCTGCCGTGGAACTTCGTTCCAGCTCTGATTGGCTGAGATTTGTCCGGGACTAACTAGTTAATTGGGTGTGCCGGGTCCCACTACGATTAACCTGACTGCCGACTGGAGCCAGCAGGCCGGCCCCCATCATGGCCATTGACTACAACGCGCCCACATTCACTCAGTTCAGTTACCCCTCCTATAGTCAACGCATCACTGAAACCACGCTCACTCAGTCACCATACCAACCACGCCCATTTCGGTCACCATACCAACCACGCCCATTTCAGTCATCATACTACTATGACCACGCCCTCTCCAGTCACCATACACACTAACCACGCCCCCTTCGTCACCATACAGACTGTAGCCACGTCCCTCAGTCACCATATACCACTATGACCACGCCCCTTCAGTCACCTTATCAGCTGTAGCCACGCCCCCTTCAGTGATCATACCACTATGACCACGCCCCTTCCAGTTACCATAGCACTATGACCACGCCCAATGCTTTCCAAACACTGACTGGGACCGCGCCTCCTGCTGTCGCATACCATGACCACGCCCCCTTCCACCAGCATGCTGAATTGGACCACGCCCCCTGGCCACGCCGCGCCCATGCTGGCTGGATCCATGGCCCACCACCGCTGCATTGAGTCCCATGGCAGCCAGGGCAACCAACACCTTGCCGCAGGGGACGGTGGGGTGGTAAGGGAGGCATGGAAAGACTGACTTGTGGGAAGGAAGGTATTAACTAAGTGTGAAAGGTGGTGGACGAATGACTATGAACGGTGGAAAGGGAGCAATAGATGATAGATGATGAGCTAGTCAGTGGCCGTAGGAAAGAGTGTTGGATTGATAAACAGGGAGCGAAGGCTATGGACTGCGGCGGGCGGCACAGGATAGCCCGGGGCGCGAGCGGCAGGCTGTGCCCGCTATGAACTCTGGGCGGTGGGCGGCGGGCGGCGGGCGGCTCGGGGCGGCGGGCGGCTCGGGGCGGCGGGAGTCGGGCGGCCCGTTCCAGACAGCCGATCGATCTGACGCGGCGCGCCGCCGCTGGCGGGGGGCGGCGGCGGCGGCGGCGGCGGCGGCCGACCGGCGGACCGGCCGACCGGTCAGTGCGGCCGGTGATGGCGGCCCCGACCGGTGACGCCGGGGGATCGCCCCTCTCCGGCTGCTACCTGCTGGTGGTTCTCAGTGAGCCCCACCGCGCCGATCACCGGCCGCTCATACTGCAGAGAGTCGTCAAAGGTAGGTCACCGGCGCACAGCCCGGCAGACTCAGCAGCCAGGGGCGCTGGGGAAAGGGGTGTGTTGTGATGGCAGAGTGTTTTTGATAGAGTTTTGTGGTCCACGGGACGTGTTTTTCGTGAGGGGATAAAGATTAGGATTATTGTTACAGGTCATGATCGCTTGGGCAGACTGAGGGGCTAGCAAGAGGCTTGAGGCGGCCTGAAGACTAAGATGCAAAAAGCCGTCATATTTGTTCCAATAATGGAGAACGCAAAACCGCCAATCCATACATAAGACGCTGGCTACCAAAATGTGAAAGGTGGCTAAAAATAAGCACAACAATGTCTACATTTGACTACGACGCATACTGTATACCCATCGTCAGTCGTTGCAGCAAGGTGCTGGTTAGTATGCCTACTGCCCACAATACAACTTCACTATTAAACGAAAACAGAACGCATACCAATAATGCCTGACGTCTATCAGTAAATTACGACTTACGTCGTTAAATGCACATTGACCGCATTACAGTTCCATTTCGTGATCGCCATGGTCCAGCTGCATCGCACGGTAAAGCCGTTAATGATCCGTTATTGACATAACGTAGATGTCAATACGATGCTCGTTGCAACGACAACGCGAGTTCTATAGTGGGACCACACCCAATTCTGGCACTCGAGTCAAACGGCGCATTGGCGCCATCCGATACGTGAAATAGAACCGGGAATTGATGTTCGATCGCATTTCCGATCAGATCCTGTGACGTCATCGATCTGAAAAGTCACACGACCATAGCATGTTTACCCCGCTGTGTATTATCATTGATTGCACCAGCATTTCATGGATTAATCCCAATATCACACCAAAAACAGACTATCACACGCCACCAATAAAGTGAAACACCATCAGTGAATCCACTTTCAATAATCAATCAACCGCAATAAATTATCTAGTTACGCTCACGCCCCGGCCGGTCCAAAATTGGCCGGCGGTGTGGGTCGCAGCCACGCGGTCGACTCGGGCCATCCGGTGTCGGCAGCGGCGGCTGTCGGCAGCTGAAATATTATCGACCGTTGGCCCGGCCAAGCCACACCCTTTGCGGAGGGCCGACCCGGTCAGCGGCAGAGACCGGGAACCAGCGAGCGTCTCCTCGCACTTACAGATCCGTCTCGAACGGGCTGTATGTGGAATACCAGCGGCGCCGCTCCAGTGAGCAGCACAGAGCGTCTCTGAGAGATCGGGCCGTATTGATTTTCCGGCTGCCGGTCGCTCTGCCACGCCCATTGCAACATACCGAGACGGAGTTTGCAATGCAATTGCTCGCGGTTGGTTGGTTCGGTTGGTTGTAATGCTCGAGGCATAGCAAAGGAGCTGGCTGCTTGCACTCTTTGAGGCAGATACAATGTTTCAGCGTCATCACCACCACGTTTTGCGTTTGAAACTCCGTGATACGACTTTATAGTCAGGTGCCACAAACACGGTAGGTGCAGCAAAAAATAAATAAAAGATAACGTGAGTAGAACATTGGTCAGTTTGCAATTGCAGTGGATATTTTTTGTAATGGTATCGTGTATACCAGATAAAGCATTTGATTGATTAAAGTAAACAAGATGCGAATACGGAGGACTTCAGGGGACATTTCGATAAGATTCATCAACTGTAAAAACATTCGTAACGTTCCGGTAGTTCAAGTGGTACAGGGCCAAACTCAGATTTTAAAGAAAAAACATGTGAAAAAGAGTCATTGGGGCAGATAAAAATTGTTAAATTGTTATTGAGTGTTGCGCACGATCAGAACATGCTACATTCATTTTCTGGAGAACAGCGGTGACAAAACCGAGCAGCTCAAAGGTAGGTGAATATATTCCTGCCCGGGGCCGGGATTATTCAATAAATGTCACCGAGGTTTTTTAGCGAAAACTCCGAGGGCCGTTGGGCCCGAGGTGCTTTTCGCTAAAAAAGCGAGGTGACATTTATTGAATTCCCGGCCTTAGGGCTGGAAGGTGTTTCCCATACCTGCCAAAAAGCTCACAACTATAATTGATAGTGACGTCAGCAGCCGTGTGGTTCAACGCGTTTAACCACACCCTTTGAACCACACGGCTGGCAATATTAAAACACTGCATTAAACTTTGAAAAGTGTGGTACAGTGCACGTGCCATTAAAATGCCTGGATGTCTCGATTTAATCATGCAATGTAGCAGGTATGGGAAATTCAACATGATATGTCTTAGGTCTCAGTCGCCCCAGGACAGCTCAGGCGGGGTTGGGTTTCCTTGCAGTGCAACCGAGTCAGATTTACCTTCAGGGAATATTGCTTTTTAAAAATCGGTGCCATCCGATTACCATTAAAATGATGTGGCCAGCGACCATCTAAAAGGCCACCGCATCAACTTGTGCATTCAAAACGATAAGAAAAGAACAATAGTAAGAAAAACGCTTCCAGTTAAATGCCATTTAGCGTTTGTCGGTCTGTCGGTATATTATTCCACCATCATCTATCCGTCTGCTTGCCGTGCATCCATCAAATGTAAAGGTCAGCAGACACCGCACCCGTGATGGCAGCTCAGTTCAAACCGGAACATAATGGCCTGTTGATGGTTCGGACTTCGGACGGGCTTGATAATACTTTGATGAATTTTTCAGAGAATGTATTTGAGATAAGTGTTTTTTGGAAAGCCGACCGAGCCCACAAACTTATTAATGAGTTTTGTATTACCCGGTCCTAGATGATAAAATCGTTTTGGAAGCCAAACACATGCCAAAAAAACATGTAACATGTTCTACAGAACAAAATATAGGGACGTGAAATGACCTTTCTAGTTAGTGCTGCTCAGAGACTCATGGGGTTTCACAAGCTGCATTCAAAGTCACATCTTTGAGCTTCCCCGTCCCATCTCCCTGCTCAGAAGTTTCAGCCCACTGAAGTCCGACACGCTGCGTGCTCAGGCATCCATCTTGCCATTTTCCACTAGGAGACAGCTGACCTGACCGCAGCGAGGACCGCCAGTCCCCAGCTTTGCGTGCAATCTGGCTCTCATAAAACGAACCTCGGCGCTGAAGCACCACTACGTCTGGAAAGTAGGAGCAGTCCCCAGTGTTATGGCTACCGCGTCTCAACTTGGTCTCAGTTATAAACTCGGCGAAGCAGCTGAATTTTCCACGGCATGTAACTACTGCCTGGCCGTATAGAGCCCGCTGAAATCACCCGGACTTGATGTGTTCTAGTCAGGTTGATTATGTGGATAACAAGCGATGATGAAGATTATTTGCGGTTACACGAAGCTACCAAAGAGAATGTAAGGTATCACGCTAAAGCCAGGGGGTCTAAATATAGCTCGCTTTCCACTCATATTATAACCGCAGAAAACTCAGTTATGGAGTTCTCTTTCCACTGTAGACAAATCTTTTGTAGTGCAGTATAGATGTCCCTGTCTAAGCTATATTGAGTGAAATGACACCAGAAATCTTGTTTGCGTCTCTGGAATATGAATTCATTTCAATACTTATTCAATAGACCACGGTGAGCCATCAATCTCGCTGCATTATCATCGTGATCATCAATTCATCCACACCCACATCGATCTCGGATCTCCCATACATCTTCGTTAGGTGAACCGATCTCAGTCTGTGCCAGGGGAACATAGTTTTTTATCAGCACACACCTGAGCGTTCCCAACGCAGGTTTGATTGTATCTGACAACGAGAGAGCCAGGTTGGTGTTGTTCTAACAATCACCGCTCTTGTTTCAAAGACGGCTAAACAAAAATGTTTTATAAATTGGTCTCCACAAATGCATGATGCAGAGGTTCCACCCATTCGCCTTACTTGCATTTTGTTGTGGGGATATCGGCAGCGTGCGAGGCCGAAGGACAATTTATGATAGTTTTCAGCTGACAAGGATAAATAAATTTAAATAATTCAACAAACAGGTCACATCCAAACAAAACTCAGCCGGTAGGAAAATCCTGAACAATTCTGTTGGAACTCCTGATGTCAGCTGATTGTGGAACTGCTGTCAGCTGATCAAAAATTCAAAGCTAGGTGATTGGTGATATGAAAATCAGCTGACAGGGTAGGCAATAGGCATCCCTCCACATGTCTACTGAACTGACTGCAAAAGCCCCAATCAGCACGTGGGCTGGACGTAAGCTGATGATAAAAATAGTATCGAGAAGATGACATCAAACCGCGAAAGATCAGCATGGACATCCTAAGATCACCAACTGACGTAGTGCACTAACACCGACTGTCGGGCGATCAACCAAGACGCATCACAAAACAGCGTCCATAGCCAGTCTTTGAGAACGGATCTTTTGTCGGCGTTGGCGTGCCTCCGCAGCCGCGACGTCGAGTTGGAACGCGGAGTGATCAATATCACTGTGACCCGGTCCGCAGCCGAGGCGGCGGCAGTGGAGACGCCTAGGCGGGACGGAGACGGAGACGGAGACAGAGGACGGAAACGGCGGACACGCCTCAAAATTAGGAATCACCTATCATGGGGATCAAAATTATTCAAAATTAGGAACCACCTATCATGGGGATCTCTAAAAGCGTCGGTTTACGGATGTATTATTGCGCAGAACATGTCTAAATAAGAATCTCTGGAATCATTGGAAGCCTCATATCGAGCAATGTGTCTTTGCGACCAATGACACTATCTGAGCACAGGAACATCAGACCTTACGAATATTTCAGTACCCATTCCAGATTGAATTTTTAAGTGTACACCAGGATGCCTGTCCTGATTCATATTAATTTCTATCGATCAGCGTAAATGGCAAGTTCTGTGGGCCATGAGAATTGGTAACGCAAGTATCGAAACATAACAGAAATCTTGCCAACGTTTCCTATTACATTACATTGGAGAAATGGAACAGCCGTGGTGGCTGAGACAGTGCATGGTAGAATATTCAGGAAGTAGAAGAGCTCACAGCGGAGCCATACCTTTGGGTGTCCAGGAAGCTTCCGTAATGGCTTCCAGGGGAGAGGGATTGCCCCTGTCGGGTGCCATCGATG